ACCCCCTTCCACATCCCCCCACCACCCTGGCTGGGCCAGGCTCTGCTCACCTTCTTCTGAATGATGTACTCGCCCACATGGATGTCCCGGTCTGGGATGACACGAGCATTGCCTGGGATCACTGGGTACAGCCTGCGGGGGCAGAAGGGCAACACAGGTGAGGGTCTGCCCGTGGGGGGGTCTCACCTCAAGTTGCAGGTTCTAGTCCCACAGCCGGTGACTCTGCCAAACACGGCTCTGCCTCCTGTCCGGCTCAAGGAGCTTCAGAGACCCCAGTGCCGCCCCAAGAGAAACCTGAGGTCCCCCCATAGCCATTGCAACCAGCTCCATCCCCTTTAGACCCCAGGTTGATCCCCCCACCAGAGCCTGGAGGCTCTCACCTCAGCGCCTCCTTCACCACGGCCTTTAGCAAAGGCATCCGGGCCACGTCCGAGGCCGATGGGATGGCACCACCCTGCACCGCGGCGGTGATCTCAGCGTGGACTGCAGCCTGAACCCCGGGGTGCCGCGCCAGCTCGTACAGGCTCCAGGACAGCGTGCTGGAGATCTGCAGGACCAAGAGGGGCTGTGGGGTTAGAGGCATGGAGCTAGGGGCATCCCCTTTCCCTGCCTCCCACCGACCTCTTTCCACCTACCGTGTCGACGCCAGCCAGCAGCAGCTCGGTGACATTGCCGTAGATGGCTTTCATGGACAGCTGCTCCTTGGCCAGGTAGTAGGTGAGGAACTTGCCTTCCACCGGCTCCCCTCGGGCGACCTGTGCTGCCACCTCTGCCAGGCGCCGGTCAATGTGTTTCTTGGCTGCAGGAGCACAAAGGTCTCATGAGACCCAAGCACCAGCTCTTTAATCCCACCACTGCCCTGGTGCTGGTTGGGCTGGGCTGCAGGAGCCAGGGTAAGAATACAAGCTCCATTTGGAAGTGGGGAGCAGTAGGGCACCCTGAGAGCCAACAGCATCTTTCCCCTGTCTTCCAGCCCCCCATCACTCATGGGTGGAGATTTCCAGAGAAACCCAAGGGATTCCAGTTTCTAAATCCCTTGAGCTGCCAGAAAAACACCTGCGTGCGATCTGTGGGAAGCGAGGACTGATGCCAATTCTGGCTCCAGCCCTGGTGATGACCTAACGGCATAACCACGCTGTGGGGATGACAGCACCCAGCTGGCCCATGCTGGAAGAAGGAATTTCCTGGAGGGGCCTAAATCTTGGCTCTCAGTTTAGAAAGACTTATCGGGACCCTTGCAAGTTGGAACGGGAGTTACAGGAGAGCTGATTCAGCGGGTGACAGCAGGAAGCTTCCAGGAAGCTCCGTGAGCTCAGGGAATTTCGCAGCAGCTCTAGGCACCCTGCCCCTAATGGCTGCAGGCCGCTTCAATAAAGATCCAAGCCGCTGCTTCCCCCCGCCTGCTCCCATGCTTCATAAATGCTGTGCAATGATGAAAATGGGCTCCGTGCTCCTCCCCGAGGGAATGGGCTGTGGGAGAGAAGCCAGAGCCCTACCCTCTCCGCCCACCCCAGGAGGTCACGCACCGAAGGCAAACATGTAGTCCCAGGCCTCGCAGAAGGTCTTCCAGGGCTTGGGAAAGAGGCGATGCAGGGCCTTAGGCATGGCCATGGTGAGGAGTGTCATGACGAACATGGTGTTGATGGAGCGGATGAAGGTCTCGGTCTCCTCGGGCACCTCGGCCTCCAGGCACCCGATGCGGGAATCGAAGAGGACTGAGGAGATGCCTGCAGGGAAGAACCACAAGAGTCAGAACCACGGGGGTGCCGGGGCGAGGGTCCTACTGCCCCCTTCTATTCCACAAGCCCCACCAGGGACCGGGTCAGACCCCAGCTCCGTCTCGCCCCATCTCCCGTGTTGCACCGCAGCAGAGAGCGGAGGCTGGAAGGGAGAGTGACTGGGTCTGATCAGGTCTTTTCCCCCTGTTAGTCCTTTCTCTCTTTCAGCCTCCAGCATTGAAGGTCCGGGACATTCTGCATCCTTCACTCCCTGCTCAATAGCTCCCGATGCCCCTTTCCTCCAAACATGTGTCCAACCCCTTGGTGAATCTGGCTACACTCTCAGCTCCCACCCTGTCATGCCATGCGGGGGAAAAAGTACATCCACGCGTTCGTTTTCAACTGATGACCTACTCATTTCATGCGGTGCCCCCTCATTCTGGTCTGGAGAGAGAGTCAGGAATAAATCCCTAGTGACTTTCTCTGTGCCATTCACTGTGCTGGAAACCCTTCTCCCATCTCCCCTCAAGTGTCTCTTCTCTACACAGAACAGGCCTGGCCTCATTAGTCTCTCCTCCTACGGAAACCCCTCCATACAGCAGCACTTGAACTGAGAATCATCATCTTTGAGCACAGAATCAGAGAAGACAAGGGTTGGAAGAGACCTCAGGAGGTCGTCTCTAGTCCAGCCCCCTGCTCCAAGCAGGACCAGCCCCAACTACCCCATCCCAGCCAAGGCTTTGTCTAGCCGGGTCTTAAACCCTTCCAAGGATGCCCTTCTCTGGACTTTCTCTACTTCTTCTAGATCCTTTTGGAGGTGCGGGGACCAGAACTGGGTGCAGGATTCAAGGTGTGGACACGCCATGAGTGAATTAAGGGGCATCACAATACTTTCAGCAGCGTTCACAATTCCCTTCTTAATAACGCCTGCCATTGTGTTTGTCTTTTTTTGGTGATGGCTGAGCATGGAGCTGATGTTCACAGTGCCTCCCAGATCTCTTTCCTGGGTGGTGACGGCTCACAGAGCCCACGGCAGTGTAGGCAGAGTTCAAGTTTTTCATCCCCAAGCCCCATGCTCTAGCCACGCACCTTCGAGGCCGAACTTGTAGAACTCGCCGGCCACGTCGGTGACCACGTGGCGCTCATGACGCTGGCGCCGGAGCTCCAGGCGGCGGATGAGGTCACCCACAACACCGTTCAAGGCCCCAGCATATGACTCCACCTCCTTGGGCTTTAGCATATGCTTGGCCAGGATGCTGCGGGTCTTCTGCCACTCCTCGCCTTCCCTGAGAGGGGGATAAAGGGATGCCACGTTAGGTCCATTGAGACAAGAGGGGCACTCTTGGGCACTGGATCCAGCCCCAGCTGCTGCTCCACCCCCCTGTGCCTACCAGCCTGGCTGGAAGCAAAGGCCCCCAGAAGCAAGGCCAAGAGGAAGGTGCTGGGCTGGAGGAGGTTGCTCTGTTGTGATGTCCCCCCTGTCCAGCCCAGGGGAGAGGAACAGCCAATCCGGGGCGCCTGCAAGGGTGCACCCCCAAGCCTTACTCACATCCTGCACCCAGTGCGGTGGGGCTGGGATCTGAGTCAGGGCTTACTCAGTGCAACCCTCATGCTTTGCGCAAGTCCGGGCAGCCACGGGAGCACAGAGTGATGTCGCTCCGGGGGGCAGAGCAGTGGGGTGGATCCCCATAGCTTTGGGGCCGGGGGGGGATATGGCTGCATCACAGGGGCCCAGATGTGGGAGGGTGCCACCTGTTGAGGGGGAGCAGATCCCATGGGGGATGGGAATAAGTGACCCTCCCATAGGACCCCATCAATATCCTTAATGAGGGGATGCCAGGCAGAGGCCAGGCCCATGCCCACCCCAGCAATGAGCATGATGACTGGTGTCCATGCCCCCCATTTTGGGGATAGGCTCCTTTGGGGCTGCATTAACCCTTTACTCCCTGCTCAGACCAGCTTCCTATTGGACCCCATTCTTGGTGACGACGGCTTCCTCCACTCCCAGCTCCCCTGTCCACCCTGCTCACATCTACCACTGGATTATTTGTACAGCGCCTGGCATGGCAGGCAGGGCAGATCCTGATCCTTGCTGGGATGCAGGAGATTTTGGTGCCCGACTCCTTTAGGCAGAAAGATGTTTGCAGGGTCTCTGGGAACTCAGAGCTTTGCTTTCGTGACCCCCCCCGCCCTGACGGTCCCATGCAAAGCACGGTGGGGATGACTTACGCTGTGAGCAGCCCGTACGCGTGGCCCCGGCTCTCCCGGTAGTCCTTCCAGGAGGAGAGGTCCGAGCGCACCGGGTGCTTCCCCTCCTGCCGCAGAACCTGCTCGATCAGCCCGGGGTCGGCCACGTGCACCGTGAGGATGGGCCCGAAGCTGGCTTTCCATACCGGCCCGTACTTGGCTTTCCCTTCCATCTAGGAGACAGGAGGAGATGGCTCAGTGCTGGAGATGGAGTGTGACTGGGGTCCCTTGAAGCCTCCCCCTGCCCCCTTTTCTCAGATCCTTTGGTGCCCGAACAAGTCAATGATCCACCTGCTGGACTCTGCTCCTGGCCACCAGCCCCCTCTCTCCCCGCCCCCTGCTCCTTCGGCCTCGGAGGCTGAACTCCGGCAGGACTGAGCTCCCCGGAGAGAGGAAGTGACAGCGAATTGAGAGTGAGACCAGAGTCACCTTTCCCAAGCCAGTCGGTCATTAGGGAGGGATACAATTAATCCAGAAGACAGAGCAGACAGCACCCGCCTGGCAGGGAATAGGAGCAGCTGGGTCCCAGCCTCATCTCTCTCCTGGCAAATTTGGGCTTTGGGGTACGGTGCCCACACGCAGCCCCAAGAACCAGGTGGATCCCCCCTCCTTGCGGGCGTAGGAGAGGGGAGACAAGGAGGTGCTGGAGCATCAGGAAGGGTGGTCTGAATTTGGCCTGCCCCAAAGGCAATGCTGTGTCTCCCTCCTGCAGCTCCCCCACCAGCCAGGGAAACTAGATCCAGAGGAACATCAGAAGCTTTCAAAGCCCCGGATACATCAGATACAGACAAGCTACACAATTCACAGAGGGGAGATGGGGGGTCTCAGAGATGAAATGCACTGCCTGATCCAGGAGGTGAAGCCTCGGGGAGCACATGGAGGAGGAAACCCCTCCATTCCTCTTGATTTCTCAGTGCATTGACCCAGGCAGGGCAGGGTCTCTCCCTGGGGTGAGGTCCCTCCCCAGGCACGTCTCCATGTCCTCACTTTATCCCGTTTCCATTCATAAAGCAGACACAAAACTCCCATCCCCGCCAACCTGAAAGGCCCTGTGAGGAGCTTCCCCAGCTCCATTCCCCTCTGGTAGCACGTGCACCGTGCATGTGGCCAAACCCATAATTAGGGGGTCAGGCATCTATGGATCCCCCTGTTCTGATGTCCCCGAGAGCTGTGGGAAGTGGCCTCAAGGCACGCGGGCACACGGCATGCAGGTGACAGGCTGTACGGTGCTGACCACCCCACTGCTTGCCAATGTAGGCTTCTCGGCTTGGCTCACGGGGTTTCTTGGAGGACTTGTCCACTCCGGGGACTAATGACGGAGCTGGTTTGGGAGGGGAGCACCCAGCAAAGGTGCTGTTGGCTTTACCCAGCGGCTGTTAGCGGCTGGACTCCCCCGATCTCCTGCGGGCAACTTGGGGGGCTCCAGGGACAGGTGCCAGGTGCATCCCTGGCTGCTCGGGCACAGGGCTTACCTGCAGCTCGTGCAGCCGGGACAGCCCCCCCCTGCAAAACAGGTCATAGAAGAAGCTCAGCGCGCCCGGACCCGGCATCTGGGCTAAGGTCTTGGGTGCCTCGATCACCTGGGCTAAGGTCTTGGGTGCCTCAGTCACCTGGGCCGGGGCCTGGACCAGCTCGGGCAGGCAGCGGGCGAGCAGGGAGGCCCGACCGGCCAGCTTCAGGGCCTGTGGCATGGTGGCACCAGGAGGGAGGCAGCCCCAAGACTGGTCCCTGCAGCATCTTTCGTGACTTATATGCAGAACGTGGCACGTGGAGCAGAGAAGGCCCCGCCCCCTTCCAAGCCACGCCCCCCGGTGTCTCAACGTTCGGTCATTTGCATAAGGTCAGAGCAGGGGGTGCCTGGGGGTGGGTATCGGGGGGCCTTAGGGGTGGGTACTAGGGGGAAGAGGGTGCCTGGGGATGGGTATCAGGGTGGCCTGGGGGATGAGTACCAGGGGGTACCTGGGGGTGCGTTTTGGTGGGGCCTAGAGGGTGGGTACCAGGGGCTAGGGGGTGCCTGGGGAGATGGGGACCAGGGATGCCTAGGGGGATGTGTACTGAGGGAGAAGGGGGTGCCTGGGGGTGGGCACCCATGAAGTGTGGAAGGGGCATGGAGGGCATGATTGCCCTGTGCTGAGCCTGGCACCAGGGTGGTGCCCCCCAGTGAAGGGCAGGAAAGGGGATAAAGCACAGGGAAGTGCTGAGTCGGCCCTGGGGTGAGGGGGTGGGGGGCAGTGGGGAAGAAGGAGAAGCCCGAGTTGCGTTGCGGCTGCAGTGCACGGGTGAGGCGGGCCCAGGCAGGGGCGGCCGCATCCTTCCAGGCTCACGCAGGGCGCTGGAAACAGGGCTCCCCCAGAGCCAGCACGGTCCCCCCAGGCAGGCAGGTGCCCCAGCTGGGGGTCTGGGTCTTTTACACAGTCCCTGCAGGGGCCCCAGGGGTCCTGCTCCCCCTAGTCCCTGCCTCCCTGGGTGTGTGGGCAGGGACCCACGTGTGCACATATGTGCATACCGATCCCCTTGCACACATGTGCTTGCTGATCTGTGTGCACATATATGCATGTTGATCCATGTTTGCACACGTGTGCTGATGTATGTGCACATATGCACATACTGATCCAGGTGTGATTCGTGTGTGCTAATTTATGGGCTGATTCGTGTATGGACGCATGTGCATGCTGATCCATGCATGCATGTGTGCATGCCAGTCTGTGTGTGCCCACATGCATGCTGATCTGCATGCACAAGTATGCTTGCTGATCTGCATATACACATATGTGCATACTGATCCAGGTGTGCACGTGCGTGATGTGTGCACACATTTGCACAGAGCCATATGTGCATGTGTGTGCTCATCTATGTGTGCACATATGGCGTGTGTGTATGTGTGCATGTGCTGATCTCTGTGATACGCCTGTGTGAACATGTGTATGCATGCTGTGACCTCTGTGGCACACACATGTATATGTTGTATGCAACAGGGGAGCACCTGCTGCTCTCTGTGGTGTGTGTGTGTACATGGATGTGTATGTACGTGCTGCTCCTCAGGGCAGGAAAAAGGGCTGTCTCGGCCCCAGTAGGGCTGTGGGGCAGTTACAGCCCAAGAACCAGTCCCCTTCAAGAGGGAAGGGGGCAGGACAAGACGGGCTGGGGCCCCGCCAGTGGGAGTGAACTTGGCCCGTGGTGAGGACATGACACCGGCTGCCTTGGACCCAGGCCCAGAGGACACTTGCTTTCTCAGCTGATTTGGCAGGGTGGCGAGTGGTGATCCCAAGGCTGCCCTCGCGCCAGCTCCTCTTCCACTGCGGCCAGCTTTCAGAGGACTGTTTACCTGCAAACCACTGGGCTGTGTCAAGCCAGGCCCCTTCCCTTTGCCCCAGTGCCGTCCGCTTGGCAGCAGCCTCGTGCCTGGCTGAAAAGGCAGGTAGGCACCCTCCTGCGGCACAGCCCCCCACGGCCGTCTCGTATTCTCGCCAGGCACCATCCTGCTTGCGTGCACCTCTCTGGATTCATCCACGCGTACAAATGGAGATGTCCCTATCCTAGAACAGGGAAGACGACGGACCCACAAGCAGTAACAATACAGTCAATCTCTGCTTGCATCCTGGCCTCTAGCCACTAGGCCACCCCACCACTGCTTGGCATTTCAGGGAACATAGGAGCAGCCCACACCAGGACCCCCAAGCTTTCTAGGGGGCTAGAGGAAAATCAACACTGAGGATGCCGGAAACAGGGTCATGGTTCCAGTTTGGGGCTCCAGTTTCGGAGAAGCTAAAGAAGGCATGTAGGTCCGGAGCTGCTGGGATCTCTGTGCAAGACAGAGCAGTTCCCGTGTGCCCCAGTTGGGTGCTTGGGAGCTGGACTTCCCAACTGGGAGTGGAGTGGGGCACAGGGGGCTGCCCATGGACACATCAGGATGCTGGGCCCCTCCCAGGACCCCCGGGGGCTGGGGCCCTTGGCACTGAGCGTTTCAAGGCTTGGAGGTGGCACCAGGCAGGGCTGGGTCCAGACAGGTGCTCCGAGCCCGTCCCGGGGGTCTCAGCTCCCTGTGGTCTGAGCTCTGCGTCTGCTGTCCTAGGACTGAAGTCATCTTGCTCTGGTAGCCTAGTCCCCGGGAGGAGCTGCAGGGCAGAGACCTTCACAGAGGCATCCTGCAGCCCTGGCCAGGCTGCAGGCAGGCGCCTTCCCCCCATCCCAAGCTGGTGCTTTCTGCCTCTCCCTGCCCTGCTTGGCCAGTGGGCATCTGGGATACAGCCCCTGCCAGGAGCAGGGCCCTGGGAAGCAGCCACAATGGGCAGGGGGGTGGAAAGGCCTGTCCCCCAGCCTCTAGGCAGCCCCATCTCCTGCTTCTTCCCCAGAAACTTGCTTTCCAGCCAGGGAGACTCATATCCGCTACCTGAACTCATCCTTGTCACTCCCTGGCCGCTGTGATCGCTTCCATGTGTGTGGCCAGGGCCCCCCTTGGAGGGGGTGCACTGCCGGCCTGGTTTACCCCACATGACCAAGCATAGCAGGGCAGTGCTGCCCGGATGGCAGCCTTCAACAACCCTTGAAAAGCAGGACTCTGGGACGTGCAGCACCAACCCCAGGCTCTGAAGCAGCTCAGGGAGTCCCCAGCAGCTCTAGGGAGATGAGGCAGCTTCCAGCCTGATGGATTGTTTCCTGATGGGGGCAGGGCCCTGTCATTGCTCACGTCCACCCTCCTTGGACCCGTGCCACTTCCCGTCATGGCAGGGTGCAGACAGGCCCTCTGGCTTCTCCAGCCAGGTCATGTCAACGCTTTCAGCTGGGGAGTTCCAGACACGGCTGCTCTCCCTGTCTACCCACACCCCCGCCTGGTCCTACCCCAGATTCTGGGAACTACCCATTTGCAACACAGGAAACCAGGCCCCTTTGCACTGGCCACGATAGAATCCAGCCCCAGCCCAGGCCTCCTCCAGGGCCCAGAAATGGGGACAGGCCAGGCAGCCACTTGGCTTTGCAGACAGAAGGACCTAATGCCAGACCTGGCCACAGCACCGGCTGCAGGGACAACTCAAGCTCTGTCGCCCCATGGAGACGCCAGCCAGGCTGGGTTGAGGGTTTATTTAGCGATCAATAAGTCCAGCTGCAGCGCTGGCAAAGTCCCTGGGCCCAGAGCCTCTGCACCCACAGCCAGAGCTGCTCAGGAAGAAGAAGTCACAGCTTAGGCACCCCTGGGCTGCAGGAAGGATGGATGGACAGACAAGGCCATGCCCAGTGCTTGGCCCGTCAGAGCCAAGAAGGGAGTGGACACCTCCCCAGAGTCCCATCACGTGCCCGCTGCGTCCTGGGGCTGCCCTGGACCTGGTGCTCCCTGCAGAACCTTGTCCTCAATGCGCTGGAAGACGGCCGGGAAGGTCTTGCCACCACTGCGCTGCACCTTCTTGCCCTCCTCGGTGGCGGTGCCCAGACAGTCCACGATGGGATCAGAGCTCTGCAGGAGCAGGCGAAAGGCTGGTTACTGTCCAGACTGTAGGCTGGCCACCCCTACCCCAGCAGAAGTCAGGTCTGAAGGTCAGTCCCAGTGACAGAGACCTGCAGGCTGGCTTCTTCTCCCGCCCCCTGCGACCAGCCAGAGCCCGGATCCTGCTGGCCGGGGCAGCATTTGGCAGTGAGGGACCCTCCCAGTCTGGCCAGAGACTGGCAAACCTACAGGCCCTTGGGATCTCAGCAGCAATGGGGCCCTCAGGGCCTCCCTAGTAACCACATTACACACCCAGCCCCAGGGACATGCTGAGGGGGAAGAGGCCTGTGATGACAGTCCATGTTTCACTTTCCAGCCTCCCAGGATTTCCAGGAAGCTGCAATCAGAGGGAAGAACTCACGTCTGCCTGGGAAGCCCCAGCCAGGGGCCCAGCCTCCCCTCCCATTCCTCCCTGCCAGGCCAGGCTCTCACCATCTCTTCCAATGGCACCGGCTGGGAGAGCGGGAAGAGCGGATGCTCACTGAAGTGTTCCCCCATCCACTCATGCACCTCTTCCACGTCAGTAATGGTGTACACCAGGCCCTGCATGAGAGCCCTGGTGAGCAGGGGGGAACCCATGCACCAGGGCCTGCTGTCACGAGGGAGCTCTGCGGCACTGCCCAGAGGGCAGGCACCCCCTCCCCAGCCATTTCTTGGTGCCAGCACCCGCAGCAAGAGTCACAAGTTGCCCGGGGCAGGTCACACACAGCGATGTAGCATCTCTGTGTTAGGTCCCTGGGGGGGAGCAGCCAGGTCACAGCCTGTTGGCTGGGTGCCCCTCCAGGGGCCAGGTAAGAGGCAGGTGCTGTGACTCAGGCAGCTGAGGCTGGAGTGGGGCCAAGCTGTAGTCATCCCACCCACCCTACTCTCCTCCCCAGGTGACGACAGCGGAAGAGGCGCGCTCCCGTAGCGAGGCAGGGAGCAGAGCCCCCGGGCGGCTGAGCTCATGGCTTGGCAGGTGAGAGCAGCTGGGTGCGGAGCCTTGATTCTCGTGCGTACGTGGGGGTCCGTCATGCCCCTAAGGCAGCACCAGGCTAGCGAAAGCTCAACGGCTGCTGCCAGTTCCTTCCCGACAAACTGGGCTAGAGCCACGTCAAGCCACAGGGGAGATCAACCCAGCAGTCCAGACAGCCACAGGCCCTTCCCTTCACCCCCATCACAGCTGCAGTGGCAAAGCAGAGGGTTAAACCTTGGGGGCTTGGTTCCCTGCTCCCTTGGAGCCTGAGGACTGCAACCTTCAGGTCCTCGCCAGGCAGCTGTGCCCCACTCACCCCGACCCGCAGCACATAAGCGTACTCCGCTAGCAGCGTGGGGCTGATGATGCGCCACTTGTGCTTCGTCTTCTTGAAGTGGGGGTCAGGGAATAGGAAGAACATCTTGGTCAACTGCAAGGGAAAAAGGAAAAAAGGGGTTAATCTTCTTTCTGGGGCTGCTTTTAACAGCCTGGTAATTCCTCCCGCCTTGTCCTGACTCTGCCTGACCCCTGGCTCCCCTAGGATGAGTCCTGCAGCCTCAGACCCCCATCACCTTACACCCACATCCCTCCCCATGGCAGGTGACACAGCAGTCAAGGAATCCTCTAGGTAGGCAATGGGTGCAACTCAGAGCTGGCATTATCTGAGAGAGGACTTGATTCTAACGAGGGTGCCTGGAGTTGAAGGGGAGGGGAGTGGGGCTTGAGTCTACAAGGGATTGAGGACCACTGGACTAGCCCACGCTGGAAACCAGACCAGTTCCCTGCATTCTTATCCAGAGAGACCAGACAACTGATGCCCCCACCTTGAATCGCGCTATGATGTTACAAGCCCATCAGGGCTCGTCTCCCACTTTCCAGAGGGGAAAGTGAAAAGCCTCAAGACAGAGGCGGCCTCTGGCTGAAGGCCACAGAGAC